AGTGAGGAAAAAATGAAAAAGTTTCCAAAGGATGGAAGGATGGGTGCCCGGCGAGCACTCAATCAAGTGCAAAATGCAAATGCGTTGAGCTGCTAAAAATACCAGAAACAAAAGGGAAGTTGCGGGGCCATAAAACGCGGACAGCAGCTGCAAGTGCCAGATCTTACACTCCCGCTTCAATTTTTATCGCCCCTCCGGTTAGAGTTGTCTATTTGGCTATATTTTTGGGTTCTATTTATAAATTAGTCGAAGGACTAACCTCTGGATTCTAGACTCTACCCTCTAGGGGCTAGTAGCTACTACATACCTTTAATCCCACTAGTTTCCTCCTCCATCATTGTAAGACAAATACTCGGAATTTCTTTGGTTACTTCAATTGAGTTCTCAGGATTTCTTGGCTATTTTTATTATTGCCTGATTCAGTAATCCGTAGTTGGCGGCAGCACTGACTCGCGCCCTTAGTGTTGCATTTATTGCGCTTGTTAAAGATGCCTTTATAGAGGGAATGGGAAAAGGGAAGCCCGAGCGAGAGAAACAAGTTAAAAAGTCATAAAATGATATTTATTTCATTTTGCTGCCGCGTAATGCGGCCCTGGCAGCCATCAGGAGCCTCGCGGGTGGCATCATCGGGTGGCAAGACCCAAACTTGATGATGAAGAATCCATAGGAGAACAGGAGAGCTGTATGGAGCAGCAGCTGACACCGAAGCTGCCCAGAAGAAGAAAAGTTCCGTAGATTTGCTTTTTATTTGAAATTTATATTCGCCGCCCCGGCTCCCTACAAACAGTGGATCTATGGGGGAAAAGTGACTATACCAAAACGGGGGAAGGTGGAAGGGACATCCTTTTCAGGCAGCCTTTTCACACAACTATTTGCCGCTTTTATGGAGTTGAAGCTTTGACTTCTGAGCCACTGGAAATGGGAAATGGAAATGTGCCAACGTTGTGGCTTTTTAATGTTTTCTTGTTAAAGTTTATTGAAAAACTTTGGCCAGTCACGTTTGAGTAGTCGGCGGGAGCGGTCTTCTATATAGCTTATAACTGCGACTACACCCACACATGTACATATGTATATACAATGGTATATAGAATATCTGGGAAAACGTTTTCAGCTTTCAGTGTTTTCTAACCAGAAATGAAACAGCTGCAGAAGCTGCATGCCCCGATGCCCCTGAAAATGGGGCAAAAGTGATTTCTTCTGTTTAATAAAGAAAACGGAAACTTGTGCATATTACTTTATCTATTCTTCCCCCACTGCTGGGTGGCAGGGGGTGGTGGCTGTCTGGTCATGTTTGCTCATAATTGAAATTTCGCGCTAAACAGGAAGTGGCCATTGCCAACGCTTTTGTTGCGGCCAGTTCAAGTTGTTCGAGTTGTGTTGTGAATCAACTCAGGCTGAAAGCTTTTCCGAGGCGGTGGAAATTGGGTGGATGCCAGCAGATGGTTGAGTGGCGGGGAAAATGCAGTTCATAAACAATAAAACCAACAACAGGAGCGGTAGATGCGAAAATGCAATAATATTTATGAGAAACACTCTGTGTCCGTAGTCCGGACTACTACGAACCACTATGGAGCCTGGGAGGTGTGGGCGTGCGAATGAAAATTAAGGCCGGAGAAAATGCGAAATGTGTGCGAAAAACATGCTGGAAAAGAATGAGAACCGGGAGAATCGACTTTCGCCCCCCGGGAATTGTCATTGTCTTCAGGAACAGCACATGTCTCTATCGCTATGCCAGCATCTAGGTCCACTTGCCATTGTGAAGGCGAACAATGGAGTTGGTTCTTTGACTGGAAGCCCCACTCAACAGGATTCCGCTTATCGATCGATGGAGTTGGGCTCTTAAGTTACTTTAAAGTATTACAGTTTTCTTCGAATTTTATGATTATGAAAAGGTCGGCCAGACAGAAACGGAAAAGGTATCAATAAATCGAAAACATTGCAAGATTTTAAGGTAATTGGATTCTTAACTTGTTCTTTTAGGTAATAAATCATCCTCTTTAAAGCTTAGAAATTGTGAAAAGTATTTCCATGTGGATGGGCTAAAAATAATGGTATTCTGGAATTCCTGGATGTCTACCATTTGAGGAATGTGTAACTGGGCTCTGGCTACCTTGTGTACCTATCCGTAGTTTGTTAGTATCGCTATATTGTTTTACTTGGCTGGACATTCTTTTCCCTGGCATTCCATCTATTGTGGCACCTCCCCTTCCGGCACTCTCTTTCCTCATTCTGGATCCATTTATTTTCCATTCTCGTGTCGCTGTTGTCAGTCAAGGCCCCACCGCCACCTCCACCTTATGGATGTTGCCCCCCATTTTCCGCCGCACACACGTACTGCAGTGTGACATGTGCTTCCTCTGTTGTATTTTCGTGCCCCAGCAGCCCCAGCCCCAGACCCTCCACTTTTCCACTGTTATTTTCCACATGTGAAATTGAACTTTGCATCTTGCTACGAGATGCGAGTTGCGAGATGCGAGGCGTCGCAACTTCAGAGATACAAAATGCAACGAAATTTTCATTTGCCAGCACCGACACTGCACTTGACTTGTGGCGCTTCACCCTCTTGCCTCACCGGCTCACCGCCACGCTTGGCTATTGCAGTCCCCCAACACCTCTTCCATTTCCCTAAACCACTCCACATGGCGGGGCACCATCCATTCGTGCACCGCTTATGACGCTGTTTTGACACTGCGAACGCGCGCGTGTTTATAAATAAAATATATATGGAAATATATATTTGTGAAATTTTTCCACGCTTCTGCTGCTGCTGCCTCTGCTGTGGGGATCGTGGTGGCGCACATGTGTTGCACCCTTTGGCTGTTACTCCTTCTGATGATGCTGCTTCAGCTGCCTTTTTCCTTTGAAGTTCATAAAAATTAACAAAAAATCAATTTACAGCACAAACGATGCGCTGATGAGGCGACTCGAGTTAAAGGAGTGAGGAATGTGCGGAGTGAAGTGGCACGTAGTAGAGTGCCAGGGGCAGGAGACGATGTTGTAAATGTTTTCATTGCAATCGAATGTGCGCTTAGTGACGCCGCCTGTGATCTCAACCGGCACGCCCACCGGCCGCCCTTGGCCTTCTGGGGTTGGTTGAACGTCAATATATGAATATTTTCTGTTCTGAAGCGTGTTGATTGCCCATCAAAGCCCAGCCAAGGCCAGAGCGAAAGCAGCAGGAGCCCAGTCAGAGATTTGCATAGAAAACACCACCCCAAAGCAAATCCTGCTCTAAAGCCAAAAGCGATGCACAGGAAAAAAATCCATAAACATACTAATATGGGTGGTATTCCTCGGGCCTCATAAACTAAATGGAGTCTGTTTTGTCTTTCGGCGCCCATTTATTTTTACAGTGTTTAGTGTCAGCGGGAAAATAAAAATAGCGACGATTATGATGAAAATATTCATGCGACAAACGGAAGCCATATCTCCTGGTGGCTTCTCCGGGTGCCCCTGCATTCGCTGTGAGTTGTTTATGTGCCAACGGTACGCAGCACATTTGAATTCCACTTAGAGCGTCATCGCAGGCGGCTGATGTGTTTTGGCAAACATGTCTATATGCACGGAGAGGTGGTATGGAGGAGCCTTGGATACATACACGCATCGTGGCATTCCTTTAGCCGGATCAATAGCCCATCCACTCCCCCACGTTACGTCGGAAAAGCGCCTTTCATTGCCATGCAAATGGCGAGGAGACACTGAAACCGAAGCTGGCTCAGCCACTAATAAAGCGGCAAGGCAAACGTAATTAAATTTAATGCCCGGAATGCTCGGCTCAGCTCTGGCAAGAGCCAAACGGGCGTGACGTTTAAATCCGAGCATCGAAATTCAATTTACTACAAAATCCCATGCATCGATGGGCCGGCCTACCAACGACGACGACACCCGAGACATCCACCAAAGACAGGCGTCGGCGGCGAAATAGAAAATACTGGAAAATATGTCTCGATTTCTTGGCAAATCCTGTCATAAATTTCAGCCCATGGCTTGGATATCCTGCTCATCCAAGCTTTCCATGGCAAAAGGAGCTTCAAGCTCCCAGCTCCCAGCAGGGCAACAAAGAAGGCAGCCGACACGCAGACGACCCCAAAAACGAAAATATGCTGATGTCGATGCCGAATTATGATTTGTTTTTGTCGACTGTCCGTTGGGGAGCTTGTTCCGGGGCAGACACTAGGGAAATGGGATTCTGGCCCCAAGGTTACCGGTTACCAACTACACACACACTCACATCACCAACCGTGAACTACTCAGAACAACCAGTTGAGATGCTCGTAAAAAGCACAAGGCTCCACACCGCCACATGGCCGGAAGGGGAGCAGGGAGCAGCAGACCCCACACATCCTCGACCTCGCAAATTATAAAGTTGTTTGGCCAAAAGTGCTGACGCTCTCTCGCCATGGCTTGCAAGTTTTCTGTTCGTTTTGAAAAATGTGCCAAAAGCGAAAAAGGAAGCCAACAGAGAGGGCCAAAAAAAAAAACAAGAATACATGACGGCCAGGCCAGATAGAAAAAAACTTCTGCACGTTTTATCTAACGCACATTGATAAGGATTTTTGGCAGTCGTCGCATGATTTGCAAGTTTTGCACAAAATGCCTCAGCCTCGCCAAGATGAACGTTTTGTGCAGACGTGAGCGAAAATGCGATGACCCCTTGGCATAGTTTGCATCTTTCTTTGGCCATTTTTTCTTTGCATTTGGATTCCAATGATGGAATCAAGTGGTCAGTGTCGAGGGTCTATGGGAGTGTGAACAGGTGTTGGCGTGAGATTAGAGGATCCAGCTAAAAGCTATCCTTTTGGTAGGAATTTTAAAAGGTTATATAAAAAGTAACAACCCGTAACTAGAAGTTGTCTCCTTGAATATAATTTTTTGGGTAAAACCACTGCTCGTTATTGCAATGGAGTAACTGAATTTCTTTTGCCATTGCCACTACTGGCAGCCGTTGATTCTTATTGTTATGGCATGTAATACAGTGAGTGTTGTTTGGTGGTACTCACTGTTCTTTTGAAAGTCCTGCGACTCCTCGTCCGCCATCACAAGGACCGATTTCAGCTGCAGGCAAGTGAGGAGCGCAAATGTCAGGCCGACAGCCCAAATCGTTTTCCCATTGTCCGGGCATCTCGTCCGTGATTTTCGATGTGTGTGCTGTTCCAGTTCCTGTTGCTGTTGTTGCCAATATTCCGCCATTGTAGTCTTTTGCATGGATGCTGTTTCGGTTGCTGTTCCTGTTCCTGATCCTGTTTCGGTTTCTGTTGCTGTTTCTGTTGTTGTTGTCAATAAAAGCTGCATGGCTGTCATTTTGTTGTGCTTGCGGTGCGTTGTGCCAAACGCGAGAACGTCTCGTCATTTATGTAGCAAGCTTCAATTTGACCCAAGTGTCAAAGAAACGCCAGTGCAAGAAGAGTCCAGAATGTTGCAGTGGCAACATGCAGTTCATGTGTTTGGTATTTTACTCTACTTGTTTTTTTTTTGAGAATACTTTTCTGACCTGGCGCCAATAAACACGCGTCTCCTTGGTTATGGCTGCTCGGCTATTTCCGCTTCCGGCGCTGGCTTTAATGAAGCGCCAATGTACTCTTCGCCGGGGAGTTGGCCCATAAAAAGAGTATTTCAACAGACATTCAGGAATGCATGTCTGTGCGACGGACTCAGATCAAGTCTGTGGAATCGCTTAATGTGCTTTTACATGTTTATTTGCACTTTTATGGCCTCGCCTTTTCAGTGGAGGATTTGAAGGAGTCCCTCGGTAGCGTCGTCCTTTCGTGAATCCTGTGAATAGAAAGCAAACATCGAAACATGAGTGAGTGCTGATTGTTTTTGTGTTTTTGTGTGGTAGCCGTAGCTGCCAGAAAAATATGAAAAGTGCTAATAAAATTTTTATTCCACGGACGTCAGGCAAATTGAACTCGTAAAGAGCTGATGAAAAGGGTAAGACCCAGAGTCGATTCCTGGAATGGCCCCGAAACTCAACATCTCAAAAAGAATTAAGGGGAATCAGTGGGAGGGTACGCACTCCTCGAAATTGGTTGTTTTATGTGGCCATCGCATCGATGAAGTGTGATTAATGGCGCGTTTCAATGTGAGACGCGTAATTAAGGAAGTAGATTTATGTTCCCGGCCGCAGCTGAGGCATGACCTTACCACCCCATCGCCCAGTCACCCAGTCACCCAGTCATCCAGTCACCCTCAACAACCCTCAGTCCTGCTTGTGGGTCAATAAAAACGGGCTGCTTTATCACCTAGCCAAATGTTGCTGCTGCGCCTTTTAATTGCGTGCTTGGCGATCCTTCAAGAGTAACACGAGTGCCGACAATTAAACAACGCATCCAAATTGATAAACCAAACACAGTGACAGCACCCCCGATAGCAGGAAGCCACTCTCTCGTCATGGTTAGTTTACCTCCGGAGTTCCGGCTAATGGTGTCGCATTAATGGAGTGATGATGAAATGAATTACACCCCAGTAACACCCAGGTCGACAGTTCGTGGCTTCCACCTTAACCCAGAAAGCCAGGCTCCCATAATTATGCAACATTTCGTATTGGCACTCGAGCGACAACTCGGCTCCCTTTCTTGGTGCGAATATATGGGTTCTTTGCGGGTATTTTATGCTTATATTTTAAATGAGCAACGTGCAAGTACGTGTGAATAAATAAAATATAGCTTTCGCCAAAAAGTTCATAAATTTTTATGATGCCTTTTGATTAAAAGATAATAACTTGAGGTGCTGCCTGGCACCCACTCTCCGTTACAGTCGAGGCTTGCTCCTTTTATTTATTTCCGCATTTCGTGTTCCTTTTGGCCCTCCTTGTTACCTGCACATAAATTAACAAGGCCTTTAAGGCTATTGACAGTCAAACTTTGCTCATTAGTAAATTTCAGACAAGACGAGCATGTTCGAACATCTGTAGCTGCGTTCTTGCCACAAGGGGCGCGCTGCTACCCCACAAGGAGTCAGCTGCTGATGTTATTCTCGTGTCATTCGTTTGGCATATATTTTAAGGCTGATTAATTAACTGGGAGGCGAGTGGAAAAAACAGTCGGAGAGAGACTCTTTCTCGGATGCATTGTGTCTGCCAACTGGAACTTTAATGACACCAAGTGGAAGATTTGCTAATTAAAAAAGTTTCGCCAATGCCAGGACGAAACACGAGAGGCCAACGAAACGAGAGTCTACTGTCCTTTGGGCGGAGAAAAGTTGCTTCCCAGTTCTTGTTCGGGAAAGTATTCCGAAACTATTGGCAACTAGGCGGAGAGGGCTTAAAGCTGCAGTTAGACAGTATTAGGTGGCAGGGAATTAGTTGTCCAATTTATAAGGAATTGTGTGTGAGCCGAAAATAACACAGTTTCGTACAATCGAATTTGGCTCAGAAACCGGAGAGTCCTTGGCTATTTTGGTAAATGCCAGCCCCAGGCAGGTCGTGTCCGTTTGCCCATTTGCCTATTGATTGGATTGCTCGTTCAGGTGCTTCCACCTACGTATGTACTGGCCACCTATCACTTGTCGGGGATTTTGGTTTTCTCTGCAGATTTTAGCCTTGTCAAATTACCGCAGCCACTCCATCATCGTTAGGCCCACTTCTTCACCCATTCAGGAAGTGGAGTAGAAGGAGGATGTGGGTGAAGCTGAGGGGAAGACGGAGGCATGGGCCAACATCAAGGCTCACAAATTTATGGGCAAATGCTCAACTTTGCCATAAATGTTCATCATAATGTGACACAATTTCCTCAAGATTTAACGCCGCATAAAAACTCCGCACGACACTCCCATATGGTAATGGAAAAGCCAGAGGATTGAGTGTGGGAATGGGTCTGGGACCGGGACTGGGAATGGGAATAAGAATGAGAATTCCCCAAGTTGTCGTGCATTGTGCAATTCGCATGCTCAATAAAGTCAAAGACGCATAACTCTCGGCGTAAGCTGGCAGCTGGCATAAATTTGAAAATAAAATAATATAAAATATAAATTCAGGCTGCAGTCAGTAAACGCATGCAGGCGACAGATAGACGCAGTGTGAATTTAACTGACAACCTCTTATCGGGCAGCTGGGAGCTGTGGGAGCTCCGAGCTACGAGCTGTGAGCACTGGGCTTAAAGGCGCCTCCTACCCCTTTAAACCCCGTCGCCAGTGCGCTCCTTTCTTCTTATTCGCGTGTCCTGGGGATGGAGTGGGGGATGTGCGCCCGCCAGTGTGATATATCATAAGCATGCGTCTGACAAGCGTAAGCACCGCTGCTGTCACTGTCACAGCAGTAACAGAACAGAAGCTTCAACAACCGGCAAAGGCAGCCGTGGAACTCTTCGGCAACGGCGCGTGTTATTACACCATGCGGCATACTTTTAGCGCCACTCAAAGGGCATTCAGAGCAGGCGATGCACACTGAAAAAAAGCTACAGAAAAACAAATCTCTATTTATTTAACCTGACTATCAGCGGATAACAAATTCAATAAAACTATCCGACACCTTTTAAAATAGTTTTCAAACGAATAAACAAACAAACGCCATAAAGTCATGAATGTATTACGTTTGTTAATTCAATTCAAAGCCAATTGATTGATTTTCCACAAGCCAGCTTTAATGAAAAAGCATAGGCAAACAAAAATAAATGTCACACAAACTAAAAAGATATGTATTTTTAATTTGCATTATTTTTTTATAAATGAATAAATAAATTTAATAAAAAATACACAACTCTGACTGTTTGAAGTTTAAAGATAAACTGAAATTAAAACATATTCGAAAGTGAAATCTTGACGGCAGGACTTCATTCTCTGTGTGCCACAGAGTGTCTGTATTTGTGTGTGTATAAATGAAAGTTGAATTATGACAAAAGAAGACCGGGAGAAAGCAGCGAAGGAACCGGGGAAGAAAGCAAAGGCAACCTGCCCACTATGGCTTGATAATGCGCTGTGTGCTGACTTTGAGCGTGTGTTTGCCGGGTATGTGTGCGTGCGAGGCGTTTAACATGTCGTATGCGCAATTTGTGAAATATGCGAGAACAGAGCCTGCCAGCATGAGCAATAAGTTCTCCTTCTGGCCCCGTAACGTCTCCTTCTTGTGGGCTTGTCAGTAGTATGATGGTGTGTGGAAGTAAGCAATTAGTTGCCTTTTCAGCTGAAATAAAAGCAAATCGGGTGACTGTCGAGAGGAGAGAGTGCGAGTGCCAGTGAATCGAGGGCTCTGATGGGGATAAGCAAACAGCAGCTCATTAATATCCTTTATGCGTTTATTACATCAGCAGCCGGCAGGAGATTATGAAAAAACATAAATTAATGCAGAGCATCGCCCACAACAACGGGCAGCAGGAAAAATAGCAATTAGCCTGGCAAAAGGCCGCTGGCTCGTGCATACCAAACGAATCAATCAGACAATTCAATATAATTGTCCTAATTTATTTACCCTGCTCGAGAGCATTTCAATAATTGTTTATTGCAAATAATTGGTAAGTTTCGCTCGGAAAGAAAGCACATAAATTGCAGCATTCTTTGTAATGAAAATTAAAAATTAATACCCCAAGGTATGAGTATGCAAAAATGCATTAATCAAATCCCATGGCATACCTTCGGTCAGGATAAATTTTTAATATGTTTTCACTCTCTTTGTTTTTTTTCAGCTTGTTGGTCCTTTTTTGTACTCTTGGCTCTTGGTTCTGGTTTAAATTAATATTTGCCGTCGAGACACTGACCTTTTGGCCTCAATGCGTCCCTTTTGCATTGATTGAAGCTGGCGCTTTAGTTTGTTGTTCCTTTTTTTCAATGAATGTTCATTATTTTTTTATGTAAAAGAGTGTTCTCGATATGTAACGAATAGGTCTTTTTTCATCAGAAAATGCTTCATTAAAACTCATATAGTCTTTCTATTTGGATTTTCATGAATGTAAACAATATTTTTTCGTAAGCAAGATGTGAAATGAAATATTTAAACCTCCCTCAAATGTACTCATAACCATCACTATTTACCTCGAAATATATTATTGAAGGTGTAAAAAGGGGGATTTATTTTATCTCGGAGTTTCCTGGGGCAAATTTCAAGTGGGCTCCGGAAATCACAAAGGGAAATTACATAAAAAACTACTCCAGTTGACTAATTTAGTGCACGCAGATGGCCCCGGGGGACAGAGGGCTACAGTTTGGAGGCAGGACGGACACCAAACCCTTCGTCCTTTGCTGTCAGTCACAGGAAGGCAGTATCTCGTCGCTAAAGGACGACTTCCACTCGCACCCCGGAAGTCCCCCTTCAACGACCTGACAGCTTTATATAAATAAAACAAATGGGTAAACACGACGTCTGCTTCGGCTGTGGTTGCCACCAAATTTACCTTAAATTTGACAACATGCGCCAGGCTCACAGGTGGCACAGCTGGGGCAGACTTTCATTTAGGCCATGGCCCTTACAGCTGGCCCCCCTCACCGCTCCACCAAATCCCTCCCGGCTCATCCGTCAATCAGAGCTGTGA